TGGGCGGCGCTGGTGGTGGTGCTATATCCACTAACCCTAAGGATTTATGTTTGTATTCTGTTTGACGATTCGTATACTGTTGTAGTGTTTGTTGATATTGTTTTACTTTGTCACGCGGTGACAAATCTTCTCTGTTTAGGATCTGTTGCATTTGCCTATCCAGCTCACGTAAGCTCTCACCTAAGATATCCGGTGGTACGTATGGCTTTTGATTCATAGCCTCTAATACACAGGGATCGATCAAAATCATTTTCTTGGCCATCGTTACAAGCCTAAGACACCTTTAATAAGGACGCTTACAATAGGCCAGAGTAATGCCCCTATGAAGCCGCCTTGTTGGAGAATTTGCTTACGTTTTTTGATTGTCTCTTTTTGGTGAGTTGTCTTAGACTTGCTTTGTGTCGCTGCACCCATCTCTTCTGAGCGGGTGTAAGTGGCACGTTACCTTTTAAAACATTGTGACAACATTCACATAAAGTTTGTATGAGTTGAGGGGACGCGTTTTTGACTATGGTCTTTGCAAGTGACGGTTTAGCCCGACACATGAATCGTAACATTTCTCCTTGCTTTTTAACGCGTTCTGACATGACTTTATTTGGGTACATACACAACTTGATGTTCGTCAGGAAATATACAACTGCGTAATCTCAGATGATCAGGTGTTTCCTGTCGAATAACAAATAACCATGCGGGGACGCTGTGACGTCTTTAAAACTTTCTTGCACATTCGAAACGCGGCCAGGATACATTTGTTTTGCAAAATAGGTAACCTGCGATCCGTCTCGGGGGTTTTTGGACAGCACTATGTAATGCGAATTAAGACTTACCGTTCTTTGTTCTTTATTTTTCCCAAATAGGTTTTGAACAATGTACAAAACACTGATGTCACGATGGTGACTACCTTTAGTAAACAATTTGGTAATTCTATCATCTGTTTCGGACATCAAGTCGTCTATGACAACTAGCCTGCGTTTTTTCCTATCCGCGAACAAGCCTTGGTCAAAGTCAGGAAGTCCTTCTTCAAACTGGACACCTTTCATGGTCTCATATATCGGTTGCCATTCTCCGTAACACCATATAATCTCCTCTGGGGTGGGGCCGACCATTTGTGGTAGATGTGCCAACATCTTGTTTACAAACACAGTCTTACCGCTGCCGGTTGGACCGGCGATAAGAGCCGTAAAGGGATGTTTCCACATAGGATCCATCCTTAGTAATGTTAACTCATTCCCGACGGTTGCGACTAAATGCGTCCTCGGGTTTCTCCTGATGCGTCCCGGTGCATAGCGACACACCTCTTATTTTTAGTTAAAAATGTCAATGAAATCTCGCGTCCCTCGAGACTTCCGGCTTTGGCGTGATTTCTGCGTGATTTTAATTTAGAAACCTGGAATTTTTATCTTATTTCACTTTAAAACTGTGTGCTTTAGTACGGCGTGTCTATATGTAGCATGTGTTCGTCCGAGGTGCCGAAAATCTTTTTTTTTTTGGCCATTGTACGTTATTTTTTCCCCGCTAATGTTATATTTATATTAAACCTTATTCATTTTTTGTTGCATTTGTTCTTAATTCATTAACATTAAATAATATTTAGCAACTTAAAAAAAATATTTTAAAAATATAAATCAATTTCAAAACTGAGTTGCTTCCCTTTTCTCAGGAAAATAAATTAAGTCCGGAAGCAGCGCTGCCGGAGGGAATGAGTTAAAATTGGTCTATTATGACTCTATCTTTTAATGTTTATATTTTCGCTTTCAGAAAAATGGTTTCAATCTCAACCCTTGTGACCCTGAGGAGCTGCGCTGCCCTGGAGGAGGACCGCTTCCAGTTCTGTTCGGGTTGCCTTGAAGAGCAAGGCACCCAGCTGGGCCATTCGTGTGTGATGGCCCCAGAATTTCTCTGAGCTGGTGGCGGACCAGGGGGAGGCGCGATGGCGGCCCCCATAACAAGGGAGGAGTGGCATGCGATGTTCGGCCATAATGTCCTCAGACAGCTGGACTGTCGACGCCGGACTTCGGCATCCTCATCCGGCGACGAGGGGGGGGGGCGGAAGCCACCCCACCTCCCAGTCCGACGAGGCCCACTCCTCCGGGCATCCTCGAGTCCCCATCCCAAGACGACTCGGGGGCAGGGACCCGCCCCGCCTCCTCCTACGCCTCAGGCGACGGCGGGACACGCTACCCCCGTCACCACGCCCACCAGCCCCCAGGGTAACGACCCCACCACCAGCACCTGACTCAACGTCCCGGGGGATGAGTATGAAAGTGTGGGCGCTAGAGAGGACAACGGCCACGATTTATTTTTTAAAATAAAATTTTATATAAAAAACGAATCCCTCTTTTGCCTTTGTTGTTTGTTTTTAAAATAATTTTAAAACTAATCAAACTAATTACAAATCAATGGTTATAAGCATGCACAAATTAATCAAATATACCATTGTACAACAGTACAAATTATGATTAGTCAATTCAAAATAACAACACTCTGACAACAAAACGAAGGGAGGTAACTTTTATAAGACAATTACAAAAAAGTAATTATCGGGTTATTCCCCTTGGAGGAGAACCTCCAAAAATATGATCATTTCCTACATATACTACTACTACTACTCATGGTAACCAGAAAGCACTGACCCATGGTATATCACAATTTTCATCCGTTGCGGCCCGCACTCCCTAGGATGCCACTGCCCTTTTCGTGGAGAATCTAAAAGGCATGAGGCAGTTGCCTACTTTGTGTTTAAGCTAGTCCGGCACTGATAAGATCGGACCTGTTCATGGGCGCCCGCAGAAAACTTTCTGGGGGGGGGGGGGGGCAAAAAATTCTCTTTTTTTTCGCTTTATTAGATTTTTTGTCTACATTTTTTTCAGCCAACCAAGCCAGGGGGGGGGGGTGGTGGCAAGTGCCCCACCTTGCCCATACCTGCGGGTGCCCATAGACCTGTTGCTAAATTATATTTTAAAAACATTTTAAGGCCTATAACTATATCAATATATGTTGTGTTTTTTCACTGCACTGCTAGCTATCACTTTGATTACATCAGCTTTGTGTTTGACGTAAGGTGGGCGCGCATCGTAATGAATGGTATTACCATTGCTAAGCTACGGGTCTTGGAATGGGATTGGTTGATACAACGAACCATTGCCCATAGGACCATTGGTGCAGTGATCATAAGTTTCGCTTTGAATGCTGTCAATAAGAGGCTTATTTTCCCGCCCATGCTCCAATTTTGCTTACTTACTATAGGGCACATGTGTCAAACTCAAGGCCCGCGGGCCACATCCGGCCCGCCGAACAATTATATCAGGCCCGCGAGGTCTTGACCGGCGTACAATTATGTCCAAGTCAACGCTATGGTGTTTTCAAATGCACAATTTGCTGAAAAACTAGCTTACTTCGCGTCGAGCTCGCACGGCGCTTTAGTGACTTCGAAACACAGAAATGTAATTTCGAGCAGTTTCGTAACCCATTCGTCATAGACGTGGAAAAAGCACCTGTAAATTTGCAGATGGAGCTAAGATAGCTGCAGTGTAACGGGACACTAAAGGCTAAAGGCAAAGTACGACACAGTTGGGCCTGCACAGTTCACTCGTTTCATTCCTGAAGAGATGCCCCAGCTTCGTCTACATGCGGCTCAAACCTTTGAGTATGTTGGGTAGCAGTGCTACTAGCACATATATGTGCGAGTATCTGTTTTCTGTTATCAAGATTAACAAAACATCACACTTGCAGTCCATCATGAGAATCTCAATGACACATAACGTTACTCCCAACATAAACGTAATTACTTGTTTTTGTAGCCAAGAAAATGTGCCAAACATCCACCTCTGACAAATTGTCATAAGAAAAAAAATGGGTGTGCCAATGATTTTTAATTATTGAAACTTTTTTCCGTTTTCATTTATATTATAAATATTTTTTTGTTGTTTTTTTTAATATTAATTTTCCGTTTATTGAATGTTTATCCGGTTCGGCCCGCAACCTTACATTACATGTGATTTGAGTTTTGGCCCGCCGAGCGATTGAGTTTGACACCCCTGCTGTAGGGTTACCAAACATCCCGGAAAACGGAACAACTTTCGTACCCTGTGTCCCGAAAAAGTCTCTCGGGACGCCTAAACTAAATGCCCCGTTTCTAAAAGCCAAACACATTTTCACATATTAGATAAGAAAGATTTTAAATTTAAATCCTAGACTAGAGAAATTTAATTTGTTGTGTTGTATTATGTTGAAAAGTAGGTATGTATAAATAAATAAATATTAAGCATTCACTGCAAAATTATTGCTTTCTTTTATGGTATGCCTCAGAGTTTAAATTAAATTACAAAAGTGAAGGTAAATTTAAAATTGATAAAATGAGCATATTTCAATATACAGTTTCCGGGGAGGGGGGGGCGGACCCTTCTTTAGCTGGATGGTATCCCAACACAACCCCCCCACTCCCAAACCATACTGGTAAGGTTGCCAGGTGTCCACTATTTGAGCGGACAGTCCGCTTTTTTTTTTTACTATGTTCACTATTTTTTTCACAAAATCGTGGACATTTTTTAAATTCAAAAGCTTTATGATGAAATGGTACGTAATCTAAAGCTGTTCATTCTAATAGAATATAAATAATAAGAATATGAGAATCGCGTTTTGTCTTTTTTCCATAAGTTAGAATGAGACTTAACTACTACTTAATTACAACTTTTGAAGTGATTATTTTTAAATAGGTGTTAAAATGTTTGTTAGAAAATAAATAATTTAATTGTAAATTTTAAAAAAAAATGACTACCTGTACTTAACACCCCCCCCCCTCTTTAATGATGTGAGTAGTTAGTAGTACATTAAAATTTATTATTAATTTTTTACAATTTTAATAGGAGGAGAGGAGGTATGAAAATGAAGTAAAAAGGTGTAGTTTAGAAGAAAAGGGAAAATTATATTACACGTCCCGGAAGTTATGATAACGAACTTTTACATAAATGCTAAATTTAGCTGCTTCACTTCTAAGAGATTTCTACTTTCTACTATTTATTTTAAGATGGCGGACATTCTAGGTCCGTCAAATCATAGACGAAAAAAAATAAAAATATTTCCTCTTTTTGGCGTCACATCTTATGTAATTCCAATATTAATCTTTTCAACGATTTTTGATTGTTTTTCTGTTCAATGTTCAAATGAATGCAATTACACTAATTCAACTACGAAGTGTGAAGAAGGGAAATGTAACAACGATACGTGCGTATGTTATCCAGGCTGGAGAGGAAACAAGTGCAACGAATGCTACGGCAAAGTTAGGTAGGCTCTTACTCTTAGGCTACTGACATTTTAAAATAATATCTACTACTCAATACTTGTTGGTTTAAATAGTGTACAATAACTTATTATTTCATTCGTATTAAATCTAGGAATTAGGGGGAAATTTATTATAAAGAGGATTGTCCCATTTTTTATTTTATCTGATTCTGAACTTATCAATTTCATTATCATAATTCATAATAATAATATCAACAATAATAAGTAAATAAATAGATATATATTATCAATAATCTTTTTAATAAATTGGTTTAATAGTAAATAGGTTATTTAGGTCTAGACTTAAGGAATTTATTTGTCAAATACCATCATTTTGTCCCAAAATCAAAATAATTATAGAAATTCAATTATTGAATTTGAACAAAATAGATCTAACTCTGCAGTGTAAAGGGGTTGGGACATTAGAATATTAAAATAGTTCAGGGGCGGTTTTGTACTGGGAGGGATGGGAGCACTACAGCATATCTTGTTTTTTTGTCGAGTAACTTTAGTGGATGGGAAGTTGATGCATGGCAGACACCATTGTCAATTGTTTGGCGGGCTATAGCTTGTTTAAATATATTTTTTATCATGATAAGCCTATGTTAGTATTTAAATCTATAATAATTTCTATAAATATTTTGATAACTTGAGCATCAAATAACTATCGAAGTGTCTACACGTCCAGCACGCCAGACAAATAGTGTGCGAGATATACATCCGGCGGCATATCATGTGACCGCCGGACGACTAGTAGTTGTTATTATTCCGAACGAAGTGCCTTTTGGAAGGTCTTGTGTGGTCTTGTGGTAGAGTGGTCGCTTGACGTTATTATATTTGTGGATCAATTCCTGGTATGGAATCGTTTTTTTTTCCCCCATTTTAATTAAAAATATTTTATATTATATTTATATTATCATGTTCATCAGCAACAGTAGTTTCATGAGAAGTTTTTTAATATTTTGTAGCAATTTAAACAATTTAAAATGAAATCTTTTACTTTTATTGGTTGCCTTCTCCAGACTGGCCCGTAATTTATTTTATGGATTACTGGTACACAAACTCAAATAAAAAACTAAACAAAAATGTTTACAAGCCACTTTATTGGCACTTTCACTTAAGTTTTTTTCTATTATTTGCTTTCAAGATACTCAGTACATTACTTGGTAGAGAAATAGATTTTAAAATTAACAACAGTTTTGAATCATTCGCGGTCACGTGACAAGGCTGATGGACAAGATATCTCTCATGTGACTTGGTCGCCGGACAAATAGTGCGGGAATATACGTCCGCTGGACGTGTAGACACTGCCAATAACTATTTCTTTATATTTATTATAATATATCATATTTTTATTGTTCATGTTATCAATTAGTACTTAGTAGAGTTGATAGTAAATCCATAAAAGTTTTATTTATGATAATCATAACTGGATTGTTATGGTCTTTTAATATTTAAAAATCTGCATTCAGCTGTGAGTCTACATCTAAGTACGGTATATTACTTTTTGTTGCACTGAGGATAAAAAAATATATATTTGGAAATGTTAGAAATAAACACAGCAAAAAGCTGTAAAAAATTTTGACAGTTACATTTTTAATTAGCAGGATCTATTTTAAATTTTTTAGTGTAACTCCAGAAGATGGCAAGAATGAGGGAGTTATTTATGATGGTTCTGGCAATTACTCTGAACGTTCAACGTGTAGTTGGCTTCTGAAAGCTAGCCAAGCCAAATCTCGTGTACAGTTTATTCTCAATGATTTTAATACAGAATGTAATTGGGATCATGTCTACATTCATGATGGAGATTCTGCCTTTTCTCCATTAGTAGCAGCTTTCAGGTAATCAAATCATTTCTAAGCAGTTTTATACAGATTACTATATTTGACAACTTATTGCAGCTACTGATGTTAAGCATGGGTTTTTATTATGCTTCCTTGCAGGTTAATGTTACGTAAACTATACATATATAACAGAGTGCTAACCTCACTCATTCCAATTTTGCTGAATGATGAAGATATAAGATAAGCCACAAAATTATTTTCTATCTATGAAATATTAATGGGTGTAAAATTTGACCCAAGTCTGTACCATAGTTTACTTTTAGATGTGCCCACAAGTGGTTCAATCATAGTTTATTTTTAGATGTGCCCACAAGTGGTTTAGTCATGTCAAGTAATAAATTTAGTTGCTTCTTTTTTTTTTTTTTTTTTTTTTTTTTTAACTTTCTCTTTTTTTTAAACATTTTTTTTTTTTTTTTTTTTTTTTTTTGTGTTTTATTTTTTTTTTTTTTTTATTTAGTCATGTCAAGTAATAAATTTAGTTGCTTCTTTTTTAGCTTGAACCTTCACTCATTCATAACAGCATTGATTTTTGTTTCCTTATCTCTAGGAGTGAAGCTTTTTATGTCTTTATCTGTGGCAGTAATGCTCATCGCCATATCTTTTTAAATGAAATATTTGTTATTCTTAAAATACATACACATCTGTTACTTACATCTGTTACTTATTATTTCCTTATTACATACTTTAGTTTATATATGTTATATGCCGTTAAAAGGTTTATCAAATTTAATCTGTAGTTTTAAAATTTGGCTCATTAGATGAAAAATACTTTAAAAAAGGGCTGAAAACCAATATACTAAGGAAAACAATACTAAAGCTAGTGTTATTAACAATAATCAATTTAATTATACTATTAAGTTGATAAAAAAATACAAAATAAAATATACAGAAATAAAAACTATATTAACATACAGCACAGCAAGTGAAAAAGTATAATACTAGAAAGGTACAAATATTAATCCACAAGCGCAGAAAAAAGCTTCTAGTTCTCTTGTATTGTATCTCTGGTAAGTCTCATAAAGTTCTCGAGTCTAACAAATCTGATGTGACTGGGAAAGCTGTCATTTTATTTATAGGGAGGAAGTTAGAACTATCCAGAAAAGAAATTCTAGAAATTACATCATCCGAGAGCATTCTGTACCTCCAAGGAAGGGGTGGGTAGTGGTAGAGTGCTACAAATTAATGGGTGATGTCAATATTAAAATGGGGGGGGGGGGATTAACTGGTGGAGGCTACAGCTCTACGTTGAACCAAAATTGGGTCATCATAACACTGTAGGAACTCAAACTAAGTGCAGGAAACTTTTTTATTTTATTTGCTGATTTTTGTCAAGAGCCAGCAACCTGCACTTTCATTCAGTGTAAAAATTTTTATATCTATTAAAGAAATGCTTCCCATACTTCTAATTATTCCAGACAATTGGACATATTTCCCTCTGCATCAGGGACAGATGCTAGATTTATTCATTAATTTTTCTTTTTATTTGACAATATATATATACTGGTATGTCATAACATATTTCATTCCGTATTCAGTATCAGCAAATTTGATAGGACTTTTCACTATTACATTTTAATGCTAACCTTTATAATTTTGTTTTGTTTTTGGTCGTTATAAAATAAAAGATTAAATTACAGTTTTTGAAAAAATATTTAAGGTCCAATAGGAAATATAAAAAAATATATCTTGGAGGAAAAATCATTTTAGCTAATTGGGACTGTTTAATGTTAAAGGTGGGCTTCCTTATTTTGACAATCAAATAAAATTATGGCTTTCTTGTAGACAGTGCTACATGAAAAAAAAAGAACAAATATCTTTTCTGTTCTTAATAATTCTCATGGATGGAAAACCAGCATTGCAGAGGTAAGTTGATGGATATGTGAGGAAAACTTTCAATGCAATATCAGCAACTTCAGGATTATATTCTGCTTTGATATGTATGTACCTGTATCTAAAAAGGTGCTAGTGATGTAATGATGTTGAAAACCATCTTCAATCATTCACCAGCAGCTAGATCAATCAGCTTATCTTGCAAATAGACATTCAGATCAGCCTTTGATGATTCTATAAATGAATTTAGGATCCATCCGGTTCCTTTCTGTAGATCGTCTTCTCTAGCAAAGTAAAACACTTGATAGTCAATTAATTTAGTCAAGTGTTGAGTAATGACCTTTTATAGAGGTTTGAGTGCTGGGCCGGGCCGAGGACCACGACTTTGGGAAACACTGTATTAAAGCACAGGTGCACTCAATCAACTGTGTATATGAAAATATATTTATGCAACGCATCCAAAATAGTAGGTTAAATTTTAATTGTGTTCAATTCATATGGTTAATATGCAAAATTAAGTTTTCTTATGTGATAATATGCTAATAACGATTTTTTTTTTTCGCAGTGGCAGAATTGGGCGAGCAAAGAGCAAACCTCGGTTAAAGTTTCAGCTGAGCGGCAACTATGTCTTTATTCATTTCTACAGTGATGCTGCATTTGCTTTACCTGGTTTTAACATATCATATATGTAAGTAAATGTATGTGATTTTGATAAATCTTTTGGTGTTCCTGTATTAAAAACTTGATTGATTAATTAGATGGTGAATTCTTTATAAAAGCATTTATCATGAGAAATAAGTTTTTTTAAAAACATTAATTTGTTGCTTTAAAAATTTTCAGTATTGACGATTGTGCCTTAAACTGCACTGAAAATGGTGTGTGCAATAACAGTATTTGTGTTTGTGAACCTGGCTGGACTGGGGTCAATTGTGATACAATGATAGCACCAAGTTGTCCTAATAACTGCTCAGATAACGGCACCTGTGAAAATGGAGTTTGTAATTGCAAACCTGGTTTCACGGGTAAGCTTTTGCTGTTTGTATCTTTAAAATTAATTTTATTTGCACAGTAATAATTAAAAATTTCACAAGTCATGCAATTCAAAAAATGATTTCTTTATATAAAGAAGAATCATTCATAGATAATTTAAAAAAAAAAAAATTAAATGTTTAAATTGCTTGTTTATTCTAGTTTTAAAAAAAATATTTCCACATGTAGTGCTTGCAGTCAATTTTAAAATGATTTATTTCAAATTATAATTCTGAACTAAGATTAGCTATATTTTATCAACTTTAAATATGAAATATTGATTTTTGGCCTTTATATACTCCTCCTTCTTTTGTTTTCCACTAACTGTAGGAGAAAGCTGTGCTAGTTATAGTGGCTTGGATATTGAACTGATACAACCAAGTCATGAAAACTTGACGGGCAGAGCTTCATTGTCTCTCGTTTATGACAACACTGATTCACTGTGGGTGCTGGGAGGATACAGAATGAGAGATCCTGGACCATACAATAACATGTTCAGGTTAGGTTCTTAATGCCAGACATACTGATGCTAACCCTAATAATAGCAAAGAAAAACTAAACTCATTGTATGAGTCATGTATTTTTCCAGTTTTGAATGAAAACATTTTTTGTATTAAAATGACATAATTTTTCCAAATTTCCACTTTCTTTAAATATCCTCTCTTTTTTTTTTTTGTATGGTGGGTACCAAATTCCTGCCAAAATACTTTACAAGTCATAATGTTTGTGAAGCTGAACTTTGGCAGACAGTCTGTTCTTACCCTGATAGGATACAAGAGCAACTAGAAAGTTCCTTTTGTGTGAGCATTGACAACTAAGATAAAGAATTTATAAGAGTCCATTCTTAGTTCCTTCCACACTATGTTGTGAATTCTGCAACATTTAATTTCCACACATAAATCTCTCTCTGCTGCATCTCAGACAGCATTGTAAAGGCTGATGTCCAGTGTTTGAAGATCACATGAACACTTCATATCGACAGGATTAACATAGCACGATGAAAAAATCATGAATACTCGGCTAATAATGCCAGTGCCATTCAATAATGTTTATTATATAAAGTTTAATTAACATAACTGTTTTTTTTAAAATTTTTATGTTGTACTGAAGAAGGCATGAGTCGAAACATTTAAATGTGTGTTGTTTTTTTAATCATTAAAGATTACATTACTGTTCCATTGACACAAATTGTTAGTGTCTCTATAATCTAGCTCCAGGAATACAGATTCCCGTATTTCATTTAACTTGCATTTAAGTGCAAGAAATATATTGTGTCTTGACAAAGTTATTTTGTTTATTGTTTTAAAACCTTATGTTGCATAGTTCAAGGGAGAAGACACATGGATAGAAGGTGTATTTTACTGTATGTGCTATTTAGATATAAAGTGTTAAAATGGCTCCATTCAAGTCTTCCAGGGTGTTCCATGTTTTTTCTTTCCCTTTGGTGGCATCCAGTGTATAGCAGTTTAGCTATGCTCTGCTTTGGTAAGATAGGTTTGGTGGCATCCAGTGTTTGGCAGTTTATCTATGCTCTGTTGTGGTAAGATAGGTTTGGTGGCATCCAGTGTATAGCAGTTTATCTATGCTCTGCTGTGGTAAGATAGGTTTGGTGCCATCCAGTGTATAGCTAAGATTGTGTGCCAAAAGTTATTTTCTTTTATGCTTTCTCTTCTGAAAAATGCATGTTGTGTTTCTTATTAAGCTTCACAATAGTATTCACAATAGTATTCCTTACACTTAACTTTGTGTCAATAAAGAATTTTTTGGGGGAAATAAGTGTTTAAAAACACAAATGTCTGCTGCTTCGATTGAAATCTGGTGTTGCTTTTTCTTTGCAGTCCTGAATTCTGCTTTAGATATCAGTTAAAAGTTTGAGTTAGTTCATGTCACCGCCAGTACGCGCCTTGAGTAACTGCCGCACAGGGTCAATCACTGGTACCAAAGTCTGGTATCAAAATGAGAGTAGCTACAACAGTTTTAAAAACAGATTTTATCTGCACTGATTATCTTATAAAATATGTCAATTTGGCAAAACAAGACATGTAAAGACAGATAACAGGTTTAAAGCCAGATTCCTAAAACTGATAATTAGTTTTCCAAAAATATCAATAAAAATATAACTGAACTTTCCTATTCTGAAATCATTCCTCTAATATGTTAGATTTTTTTTTCTTCGTGTCAATAGATACGACTTACATAGTGCATGGTGGGAATTAGTGAATGACACAGAAAAATCACCTTGGCCTTGGCCACGATATGACCATTCAGCAGTATTTTACAAGGTAATAAGAATATTATCAACCTTAAGTGCGTGACTCATTATACATTCATGACTTTAAGCTCACTATATCTTATATTTAAATTAGGCTCACTATATTTTATGTTGATATAAATGAAATGCTTATTTCATGAACAAGTTTTATTTATTTATTGCTGTATTTACTTCAGAACTGCCTTTACGTCTATGGTGGCACCCAAGGAAATGAAATAGTTCAAGACTTTTGGCAGTATAACATTACCAACAATACTTGGACTGTACTGAAACCTGGCCCCAAGAATGTCACTGGCCACACTGCTCATGTTATCAAAGACTCAATGATCATCATATTTGGCTACAGCGCTGACTATGGGTATTTGAATGAAATCTCCCAGTTCGATTTTTGTAAGTTTTAAAAAATCATTTTAATGACTTAATCTTTTTTAAGTATGTTTGGCTCTATACCACTGAGTCCTTCAGGGACTATTTGTATTTATTCATCACTGTATTTAACTATCTGAATGGTAAATTTGGGTAAAATCCTTAGACATCAAATCAGTGAGCGGGGATGTCGCACAGGGAGCAGGGTTGTCCCACAGTGATCAGCCATGCAAACCATCTTTGGTTTCTTCAGCAGATATATTCCAATGTTAAATAATTCATAAAATATTAATATTAAATAATATACTTTGAGGCACTTAATTATTAGTGTTGAATACCTTATTAATGTTACATTGGGAAATGTCGTCAGCAGGCCGTCGAGCCAAAGTTCTTTATGCCCTCCCCAAAGCAAGCCCCCCCACCCCCCAAGTCAGAGTATCAAGCCACATTGGATATCTCCCTTGGTCAATTAATAATCACACAATCTTTGATACTAAAAAGTTTATCTCAGAGTTTCTCACTTTTGATTTCTCTAAACAAAGTTTTTACATTTGCAAAACTGTTAGATTCATAAGTCTGAAGTACTAAGATTGCTCAAGTATTTAAAGCAAAACTGTTAGATTCATAAGTCTGAAGTACTAAGATTGCTCAAGTATTGAAAGCAAAACTGTTAGATTCATAAGTCTGAAGTACTAAGATTGCTCAAGTATTGAAAGCAAAACTGTTAGATTCATAAGTCTGAAGTACTAAGATTGCTCAAGTATTGAAAGCAAAACTGTTAGATTCATAAGTCTGAAGTACTAAGATTGCTCAAGTATTGAAAGCAAAACTGTTAGATTCATAAGTCTGAAGTACTAAGATTGCTCAAGTATTGAAAGCAAAACTGTTAGATTCATAAGTCTGAAGTACTAAGATTGCTCAAGTATTGAAAGCAAAACTGTTAGATTCATAAGTCTGAAGTACTAAGATTGCTCAAGTATTGAAAGCAAAACTGTTAGATTCATAAGTCTGAAGTACTAAGATTGCTCAAGTATTGAAAGCAAAACTGTTAGATTCATAAGTCTGAAGTACTAAGATTGCTCAAGTATTGAAAGCAAAACTGTTAGATTCATAAGTCTGAAGTACTAAGATTGCTCAAGTATTGAAACAACTAAATTATATTTTAAAAAAAACAAAAAAACTTTCAAAGTTCTTTAAGCCCTCCCCAAAGCAAAACACACACGCGCACGCACACACGCACGTCAGAGTATCGGGCCACAAAGGGGCATCTCCATTGGCCAGGACAGCCCTGGCGAGCACCCACACGATCAGGTACCAGCGAAGGCCAGCCCAAGGTTACGCTGCTCTCACAGTGTCAGCAGGCGACTTTCCCAGGGGGTCGGGATGGTAATTTTTTCTCCTAAAATCTTCCCCCACCATCCCGGGGAAGTATCAGGCATCCTCTAATAGGGATCTCTACAGTGGGTTTCTACCTCACAACTTTACGAAGCAGCTGGGACGAAACGGTTGCCTAGGAACAGCTTCCTCAATGCTGTGTGCCTTATCAAATATGTCCATTTCTGAGAAACTTAAGATTTATGGCTTAACATCTATTATGGTTTCATTGAAAGTTGTTGAAAGGCTGCATTTTAAACACAAAAATTTAGTTGTTTGTTAGATCTCTCTGCTGCATTTGATACCATTGACCACCAGATTCTTCTTGACCGCCTTCATCTTTCTTTCGGACTTACTGGCTCAGCTTTAAACTGGTTTCAATCATATCTTTCTGACAGAACTCAAAAAGTCTCTATTTCCAACCGCTCTTCCAAACCTTCAGCCCTGTCTATTGGAGTTCCTCAAGGATCGGTCCTTGGGCCGGTCCTTTTCATCCTCTACACTAAACCTCTATCATCTCTCATTAGCCACCACTCAGTTTCCAGTCAATCCTTTGCTGATGACACTCAAATCAGTGACTCTTGCTTTCCTGATCAACTTGATGCCACAATCCTTCGCATACAGGAGTGCGTGGACGATGTAAAGCGTTGGATGACTTGCAACAAACTGAAGCTAAATGATGATAAAACGGAAATCCTTCTCATCCACTCTCAAAACAAACCTCTCCCTCCATTCGCTCCTTCTTCTATATCTATTGGCAACTCTGACATCACACTCTCTCCCTCTGCCAGAAACCTTGGAGTCACGCTTACGGACACCCTCTCCATGGACAAACATGTCACGAATATATGTAGATCAGCATATAACGAAATTAGAAAAATCAGCACCATTAGACACCTCCTCTCCTTTGATGCCACAAAAACTCTCGTCTCTTCACTCATTCTTTCAAAATTTGACTACTGTAACATTCTTCTCTCAGGCATTCCTCAACACCACATAGAAAAACTTCAGAAGGCACAGAACTCAGCATGCAGACTCATTTTTAAATCAAAGAAACATGACCACATTCAACCACACATGCGGCAACTCCACTGGCTTCCAATATCCTCTCGCATCAAGTACAAGTCTGCCAAACTCTGCTTCAACTCGTTCACTGACCCTCACTTTCCTGTCTATCTCTCTGAACTGTTGCTTCCTTACATCCCCACAAGACAACTACGCTCTTCCATTGACAATAGAACCCTCTCAATCCTAAGAACCAAAACTAAGACCATCGGTGAACGCTCCTTCTACTTCCATGGGCCCACGTTCTGGAACCAGCTCCCCTTCCATATCCGTCATTGTGAAACCTCGTCCACTTTTAAAAAGTCCCTTAAAACCCATCTGTTTAGGTCCGCCTATGACCTGTGATGCACTCTCCTTGCCCTGCCTCATTTTCTGTCTCGGGTTAATCCTGTAGTATAGGCCAAAACGTGCCAAAGTGTCCTCGTTTTATAGCCATTTTAATTGTTTATATAGTATAGTAGTTACTATCCTAATGTCTCATTTTTATTGTAGTTAGTTTACATGTTTTTAATAATTGTAAAGCGCTTAGAGCTTTAAGGTAAGCGCTATATAAAAATGCCTAAATAAATAAATAAATAAATAATATCTCATTTGTTTAGCTTCACAAGAGTGGACAGTTTTAAAGACAACCGGAAGTATAGTCCAAGGGGGCTATGGTCATACAAGTGTCTATGATGAAGAAAATGGCAAGATCTATGTGTATGGTGGTTACCATGCTAATACTTTAAAAGGATGTGTACTGACAGATAAGCTCTACAGATATGATCCAACTACAAGAGAATGGTACTTTTTTTATTTATTTTATTATCACTTAACGCAGTCTAGGGCATTATTTCTTACTCGCCAACTATATACAACTCTCCTACTTTGTACTTTGCCATGAAGGAGCAGTGTATATTTTAATGCTGCTACTGTTTCTAGCCACGCCCAATAAGCACTGCATGCTAAATAACAGAAGTATGAGTGGTCATTTCACTTGCACTGATTCTAATCCTTGACATTTGTCTTCGACAGGTTTATACTGCAGGGCAGTGGTACGCCAAGATACTTGCATTCAGCGGCAATTATTGATGGCTTAATGATAACCTATGGTGGAAACACGTATAATGAGACTTTACAGAAATGCTTTGTGTCAGATTTCATGGTTTATGACACAGGTATTGTTTCATCAAGTTTTCAGAAATAATTATTTAAAACATAGGTATTGTTTGAATAAATTTATCAGATTTCATTGTTTAAGACATAATTATTGCTTTCATAAACTTATCACATTTTATGGTTTTCCACATATGTATTATTTTCATAAACTTATGTTATGAATTCACAATAGCATTTTGTTTTTAAAAGTCTTTTCACAGAAATCAGTGTCAAACTCAATTCATTTTGTATTTCATTTAGCTTAAAATACATAGTACAAGTGTAAAATATGTTGTGTGAAACTCAGTTTTGTCTTCTGAATATTTGCTTTTAACCAAAATGTTCTTGACTCTGTTCGTTTTGTATAAAGACTTTTTAAATATGTTTGATGTTTGTCCTCTTAATTACTTCAGTTTAATTCCAGTCCAACCTATTTCAAACTTCTGTATTTGTATTTCCAACACATTTCTGCTTTCACCAGAGTTTGACAAATGGTACACGCTGTCCACTGCTGACCTGCATCTCATTTCCTACTCAATGGATCGCTTTGGTCAAGCGATGGTGTCAGTCAATGAGTAAGTTTAATAGGAACAGTTGTATATTTCATAAACTTAAGTTAAAATTGATTAATTCTGCAAACTAAAAAGTGTAATGGGTAGATTGTGTTTATTTTTTAAAATAAAGTGCAAGTTTCCAAACCAATTTCCCCAATTGTTTTTCTAGTACTGTGTATATGTTTGGTGGCTTTAACTCCAGGCCTTTGAATGAGCTGTTCAAGATGCATACTGGTAAGTCCACCTATTAGTTTGGACATCAGATTTTAATTTTGTATAAATATTTTCAAAATTATCATAAGCACATAATTCTATGAAGCTTATGAAAATATTTTATATTCATAATAGCTCAAGTCTGTATTCACAGTTGCTTTCTCTAATATTTTTTTTTTTTTTGCAGAAAGTTGTAATTACTGCACAAATGAGTCCACAAGGAACAGTATACTGTGTAAATTAATGCGAGGATGTACATCAGATGCCACAAACTCAAAACCATTTGGTTTGTTCTAGTTCTAACTCTGGTCATGTGCTCAAATAATCATATCTTTTTAATTTATTTTTTTTGCATCATCAGGTTTTGAGATTTATGTTAATTTTTTTTTTTTTTTATCACTGATCACCCTTGAAGTGTGATAAACCTAATTGACTTGTCAATGTCATCATTATATCAGGACACATTTTTGTTGTTCCTTTTAAGATCCCAATTCAACATGCTCGGGCTACAACACCTGCCATGCCTGCTACAACGCAACAAATGCTGAGTGTCAGTGGTGTGGGAATACATGCTACTCCAACAGTACTGCAATACAAAACTGCACACCGGTAGGATTGATTGATGTCAAGCTCCACAGTACCAAATCTGATTGATAAATCTATTAATTTGTCCGTTCAAGATAAATTTATTAACTTGTCCGTTAAAGATAAATTTAATAATTTGTCCATTTCTTTTTATTAAATTAATGTCTTCATTTCAGGATGCTGTCAACTGTACTGTGGTTGATAAGGACGTGTGTAGTGTTTTCTACAACTGCAAATCATGCCAGGAAAATGACAAGTGTGCTTGGCAGCCCAACAGCTCTTGTGGGCCATTGAAAAGTCAGTGAAAATATGTGTTAACAATTATCTTGTATATTTTAACACTATCTTATCAGCAAATATCTTTTTTTATGGTGTCATTCAATTATTTTGTTAAAAAGTAGTAAGTCTTTTGTAATGTATTTATTAGAAGGTATATTTTAATATGTATGCATCCTTAACTTTATTTTTACTTATAAATTATTTTAAAACATAGAGTTAAAAATCTTTATGTGATGAAATCAGGCTGGACCCTAAGAATTTCACCTTTGCTAGAAAGAACCCTCCCCAATGTATAAAGCTCATGGAGTGCATTGAACCGTGTCATAAAATGTGTCCCAGTACCCCCTCCCAAAAGCACGATTTATGATGATGATGAAAAGGTTATTAAGGGAGGCCAATATCCATAGTCACTAGATTGTAAAATTACAAGCAACGATTGATTTAAGCAATTCCTATAAGCCATCAATTTCAGACTTGTTAAGTTTGTGATTTCTGTGAAGTTTTGTAAATATAATGTCAATAAATAAGTTCATTTAATTTTTAATGAAAGCGATTATAGACTTGTTTTGAATTACATGCAAGTGTAAATGAATGAAAATGCATTACTTTGTGGTTGATTTGAATCCAAAAATAAAACTCCTAGACACATAGCATGTGATAACTCATTCAAGAGTTATCCATCTATTTTGAATAATATAAATCATTTCACCAAACCTTATTCGGATAAATAAATTTTGTTTCTTTTTTCTTGAAAGCTCCTGATACTGTAAAGGCTAACTGCACTCAGAAAGCTTGTAGTGAATACAATTCTTGTGACAACTGTACCAACGCGGCCTGTATGTGGTGTAGCAACTTGAGGAAGTGTGTCGACACCAACTCGTATGTCGTGTCATTTCACTATGCCCAGTGTATGGACTGGACCACCAAGGCAAATGAATGTCAAAGTAAGCCATTGAAATTCAATATTTCAGTGTCTGTGAAGTACTCTGCATAGTACTCTGTCATTACAAATTCTATCCTTCTGATAGCTGTAAAACAAATAAATAATAAAAGTTAGTTAAACCATCATCATTATATTTCTCAATAGTTTTATTTCTTGTATCGAACTAGCAACAAGCTGTGGTCAACTGAAGACATGCTCAGAATGTCAAGCCAAGCCTCAGTGTGGCTGGTGCAATGATGGGAATGAGACTGGAACGGGCGCCTGTTTGGAAGGTGGGTTGCTTGGACCACTAGTGGCATTGGACGACAAGAAAAATGGCTGCCCTTCTAACAGATGGTCATTCAATACTTGCCCTTGTAAGTATTTACCCCATGTTACCATATTTGACATTTTCAGATGTTAGCTTTTTTCTTTGTTCCTTTAAAATGCTTATGTTCTTTGTTAACAAGTGATAAAACAAAAACTGACTGAATAATCCAGGTTTTTAAAATGTCTAAATTCTTTCATGTTCATTTGTATACAATTCTTTGAATGTAATGTGAATTTTTTTACATATTACTCAATATAAATGTTTACATTTACTTTTCACACATGTTAATTTGTTTACATTTGATCAGTGTGTCAGTGCAATGGCCATTCTAAATGCAAAAATGGAACTGATATTTGTATCAGCTGTGAAGATCAGACTACAGGTCAGTAATCTCATAGCAAATAATGGTGATCATGGGCAAAATAGAGATTGAGGTCGTTCATATTTAACAATTTTTAGCAGAATGCATGCCGTAAAAGAATTGTAAGAGCAAGGTATGTTATTTAATTTCATCATTTCATCACCCTTTTTTTAATCAGGCTCCCAGTGTGAGGAATGTGCGGAAGGTTACTATGGCAACCCTAAAAATGGGGGACAGTGCAAACGTAAGTTTATTGGTGTAAGTTGTTTAAAACCTTCTGCCCTATTCGACTTACTGAACCCCAACTTAAATGTAATTAATTGTTCTTATTTATTGTTTTTCTTACCCTTGCCTGCAATATTGCTGTTGAGAATCATCATTTAACAAAAAGGTGATAACAGTTTTATGACCATATGTTTGTTACAGCTTAAAATAAACACCATGTATAATGGGAACCACTAGCTTTTTAAAAGAAAAAAGCCTTAATGTGCCGTAAAATGCGATCTGTTAATCTTGTTCCATAACATTATAAACGTCAATACAAAGGAAATAATGCAAAAAATATTTATTTAAAATAATATAATCAAAATCATTTAAATTATTACAACACTAGCTGATATATCCGGCTTTGCCCTGGGATTAGGTTGATTTAAGGCTAACCTAACAGCCTGGTCCATAATGTGTTAAATAATTTATACCTAGAGGTGGGTCCTATAAAAATCATTTAGATACATTTTCAAAGTAACCTTTAAAAACGGTAACTTGGTAGGACTGGTCCATAAAGTGCAACGGTTATAACTTAAAATAGGCAGTTAAACTTTAAAAGTTGTATAAGTTTAAAAAAATTGACCAAATTCGGTAGGCATTGTCTTCTTTATTATTAATATTGGGTCCTTGGCCCGAAAAGAAATAGATATAGCCTGTTTATATATAGATATAGTCTCTTTGACCATTTCCTTGAGACAGTTTGAACTCAGTCCCTCAAATATTATCCTTTTTCTCTTAAAAAAGTGCCATATCTCAATTCTTTACATCAGGCCTGCACAACTCAAAATGTAAGGTGGGCCTTAACGCTTTATGAAAACCTTGTGCAGGCCGAAAGATGGCGGGGCAGGGCCTCTATTAAGAAAATAATAATAATAATAAAGAATATTTCGTTACTTCATGGGCGCCAAGTGGGTGCTAGCAGGCCGTATGTTGTAGATGAATATTCAAGTTAATATTTAATTTTTTTTCACATTGCTATGGGGCCCCCAGGTATTGCATAGTTTGAATAGTAGACGAGACCATGAGGTACCATTTATTCATCACTTAATCTAGGACATATCAAAATCCTTTAAGTAATTATCGAATCGTTAAAATTTGAAAGTTTGAGTGGCCTATTCTGATTCTAGGAAAATACAGAACATCTTTGCAAAATTTCTACTCTCTTGGTCTATTTTTTTTTTGAGTCTATAACTGTCCAACAAACAAACCCACATTGAGCTTTATATATATATCTATATATTAATTTAACATGAGATGTGGTCGTAACTAAATAACTATGTTAATATTCCATCAAGAGCGTGCTACTTACATTTCTATATGTTCAGATAGGATGCTTGTTAGTCATTGAATGGCAGTAGGTCAAGAAGATTTTGTTGCACAGGCGTGCTTCTTCTTCTTCTATATCTTAAGGGCCCACGATCAATTTATTGATCATTTTGGCTCCTATGCATGTAGATGGGATTTGCAATGTTTCTGTTACTGGTGGTGATGAGGAAATTATGCACTAGGGGTTTGAAGGCTTGAGGCAATAGACACAAATGCGTCTAGTGTTGTCGCCTCAACTGTTCCTTTTGAAAGATGGTTCCAGTCCCTGATTGTCTTGGGCAGGAATGAGCAGCTCCTATACTGGCTTCTTGCTGGTATGAGCCTGAATTGCCTGTCATGGCCTCGTCGCTGTCTATGGGGGAGAGGGACGAGTTTCTGTTTAATACTGGAACAGTGGACCAGCCCATTATTTATCTTGTACATCATGGAGAGCCTGGATTGTCGTCGTCGTTTCTCCAATGGTGACCAGCCTAGTGTTTCTAGCATGCTGCCAACACTAGAGGTATTCCTGTAGCGGTTTAGGACAAAGCGTGCTGCTCGTCGCTGGACCGCCTCCAACCTGTCAATGCTCTTCTGGGTAAATGGGTCCCAGACTGAAGATGCATAATCTAAAATCGGACGGATAAAGGCTTTATATGCTCTTTCTTTCACACAGGAGTTGCCAATCTTTAGATTTCGCCTTAAGAACCCCAAGGCTTGGTTTGCTTGGTTACATACATTGTTAATATGCTCGTCCCAGCGGACCTCTCTTTGAATGGTAACACCCAGGTACTTTACGGAGGAAACTTGCTCAAGAATATGGCCGTGCAGTTTGTATTGGTAGTGTAGAGGAGTACAACTTCTAGAGATTGATAGTGTCTGGCACTTGGCAGGGTGAAATTCCATGTCCCAGCTCATCTCCCACTCAGCTAACAGATTGAGATCCTGTTGTAGCTGGTCCTGGTCAGATCTGTTGGCGATCGTCCTATACACTGCTGTGTCATCTGCAAACAGTCTTGCCTGTGATGTCAGTTTCTCCGGTAGGTCATTAATGTATGCTAGGAACAAACAGGGGCCCAGGACTGATCCCTGGGGGACCCCTGACTTCACATTGACAAAGGAGGAGCTTGTACCGCCCACCACTACTGCTTGGCGTCGGTGGCTGAGGAAGCTAGAGATCCATGTTTTAGTGGTGCCTTGAATCCCATATATCTGGAGTTTGTGTAGAAGCAAACTATGATTCACCCGGTCAAATGCTTTTGCGAAGTCCATTACTAGCACGTCAGTCTGCTTGTGGTTCTCCAGATTGGTCATCAAGTCTTCTACAAATTCGAGAAGCTGGGTCTCACATGACCTATTGACTCGGAAGCCATGTTGACAGTCATTGAGTATATTTTTGCTTTCAAGATGCTTCATGACAGAGCTTACGATTATGTGCTCCAACAATTTGCAGACGACGCTAGTGAGGGATATCGGACGATAGTTGGCAGGGTCGGAATGCTCCCCTTTCTTGTAAATTGGAGTGACATGCGCTGTTCTCCAGTCTGCTGGAACATTTCCTGTGCATAGTGACGATTGGAAGAGGATTGTCAGTGCAGGAGCGATTTCTTTGGCTAATTCTTTGAGCACTCGTGGTTTAATGTTGTCAGGACCACATGCTTTGTAAGGGTTAATGGTATTGAGGAGGGCAAACACACCTTGTTCTGATATCTGGATATCTCCCATGATAGGATAGGCTCTGTTCATCATTTTGGTCTTCAGAAGGAACTCAGTCTCAGAGTACTCTCTACCGTCACCAAAGACCGACTGGAACTGCTGATTGAGTATCCCCGCCTGTGCTTTTGGGTCAGATGTCAATTGGCCATCCCACCTCAAGGGGGAAACTCCAGCGTTTGAGGACTTTTGGTGTTTCACATAGCTCCAGAAGCGCTTGTTCTTGACATCTTTGGTCGGGGTGTCTTCCTCTGAGAAGATGCCGTTCATGTAGTTCCAATACGATCTACGCAATAAGCGTTGAATGGTTCGGCGGAGTCTCAGTACCTCCTCTCTCAGTTCCATCGAGCCATTTTTCTTCATGCGTTTGTATTGGCGGTCTCTCCTGTGGATGAGCCTACGGATTTCAGGCGTGACCCATGGCTGATTTATCCTAGGTTTGGTGATTTGGTGTGGTATAAATTTCTTCACTGCATCAGTGCTTACATTCGCATACAAATAATTGGCTATTTTAAGTAGCATTTTTTACACTGAACTTCTCACATTATATGCTTTAATATATGATATTTTGAAGTGCATAAGATAAAAATGTATTACATTTCTATGGTTCATGTAGCTTGCTCATGTAATGGCCAAGCAGATAGCTGCAATCAATTGACTGGTGAATGTTATTGTCGAACACGAGGCGTCACAGGCAAGAATTGTGACAGGTAATGATCAATCTACTAATTTGTTAAAGCTTAAATTTGTTGTCAGTTTAAAAATTTATGGTGATGGCACTAAACTTTGGAAACAGTAAATGTCTTCTATTTAGAAGTTTTTCATACATTTCAAATTAGTCTGTAAAAGTAGGATTTTGAAGATTAATATTGGTATATGAGTTTAAATATTTCACGGGGAACTTTTAAAAGTCATTCCATATCACTCATTTTTATCATTTTTGTAATTTTTAAAATCTTTTCTCTTATCCCTAAAACTGATTTAATGTTTTAAAATACTTGAAACATTTGTGTCCTAATCTTTCAAAGGTGTGACGACAGCAACAAATATTCTGGCAATCCAAAAGATGGAGGAACGTGCTATTGTAAGTCTGGCATAATTGTCTTTCTTATAAAATATATTAATGTCCTTAACCCTATAACTGTTAAATGCATTTTTATGTGGTGTCAAGCCATTTAGCATTTTCATTGACCTTGACTTTTACAAAGTAAGTAAAATTTTAGTACTCAACGTCTGCATTCATTCCACCCCACTCTCAGTATTTTTTTCTATCTATCATTACATCAGGATTTTTAGATACTAAAGGAAATATCCTTACAGAAAATATCAAGTTATAGGTACTTATTTTGAAGAATGTAATTCTGGCACTTTTTTTTCATTCACTTCCTTCACATTTCTGTCATACAAAATACAAAGGGGGAAACATGAAATGAGTTTTAAAAAATTCCTTTTTAATTAAAGTTATTCAATCTGTTTTTATTAATTAATACTCCAGAACTCATACAAACATAATTATCATTTAAAATCTTTAGGGTAGGTCTTTTGGATTCAATCTTCGTCTTTTCTGCTCAATCACCACTCTTTCCCAAACATGATTGTCTGTAACAATACAATTAAGCTTAGAGCAAAAATTGTCAATATCTTATTCCAGATTGACTGAACACAACCTCATTAAATAAATTAATTAATCTGAGACTGACTGAACACAGCTAAGTTACATTAAAAGTGATTCATTATTCCTTAAATGGCTTGTCTTGTCTCTATGTTTCAGACCAATTGAACACAGACTTTCAGTATACTTTTAACCTGTCTAAGAGAGAAGACAGCAACTTTACCCAGATTAATTTTCTCAACACACCTATGTCTGTAAGGGCTAACACTTTGTTCTACATTTCACTAGTTATATTGTACAAATTTACCAGCGTGCTCCCCCAGAGGTCAGAAAATCTAAATTATCACTAATGAAGTCCCTTATTATGACTAAGGGATTCCACTGTTTGGCTGTGTTTTTTTACGCTAGAGAAATAATTTAATTTAGATGTCTTGTGTTTAAATTGTTTAAGTTGACTTTATTAAATTATCTATTTATTTTGCGCTGAAAATGTACATGTACAATGCAATCAAAAAACATATCCGTTTTTTTAATCAATAAAAAGAATCTTATCTTAAAGCCATCAGATGTCATGAAATTAGTTGAAAATAACCAAAGAACTGTTTCAGTGACTAAGCTCAAAATTACAAATTTGGTAGCATAATCTATGCATACGGTAAAAACAAATATTTATTTATCCTTCCTTGTTTTGTTTCAACAGAGTGACAGGGACGTTGATTTCACACTGAACTGCACCTCCGATGCCCTTGTCAATATTACATACAAATCAAGTATGTGGATAATACTTGAGAAATTAAATCTTATTGATCTATGGTTACTACCAGCTATATGCTTTAATCTGGCAAAAGATGCATTTCCTTGATTTTATATTAAATGGCTTACTTTATTAGTTTTTGAATTAACCAAATGATGACTCCAAAAGAAATTTATTTTTAAACATTTTCTCTAATTCGTAGTTACGTACCATATTGTTCTCTAAACCATTGTTGTTTTAGAATCCTTCCCAGAAGAGAAAGAATACACAAGTATGAAACCCTGCCTTTACTTCAAGACCAAGTTTGAGCACAAAAACCACGCATTTGGTGGCAAAGAAAATACAACATTTTTAGTCTATGTTTTTAATTTCAAGACACCATTCATGCTACAGGTAATATAGTTTTGTTCATATAGTTACAGTTAGATAGTTACTTTAATCAAACGGTCAAGTTTCTAGTTAGGACAAGGCCAGGATTAAGCCACAACAGGGTTTAAAGCCTTCCACTTTTTATTGATAAAACCTAAACTTCATTTTCAAAATATGGCTAAGCAATTTAAAATTCATTTATTCCTCAAATATTTATTTTTTCTCTCAAATTTTTCAGATTTCATTTTCGCAGTTTCCAAAAATAGATCTAGTACACTTTTTCGTAACATTTTTTAGGTATGTAAAGTGGAAAAAACTAACAAGCAATATCTGAAATGCTTGAAGCTGGGATTGTGCCCCTTTTCTCCTTCCATTTTTAACTGTTGTGTTTGCTATTATTATTGTGGCATGGATATTGATTTACTGCATGTGGGCGTTGGATAACATCCCCTGGCACTTACCTTGTCATTGTAACTCCACTCTAAGCGTTGTTGATATTAATAATTGTGTTTTTCCAAATACCCTTTGACTCACCCATATAAAAACATCAATTGTGTCAGTACTTGTTTTTCCTCACCAATTTGGTTTCCCTAATTCAACCCTAAACTTGCTTCATTCGTCCCCACATGCAATAAATCACTGAGCTTGAACAAGGATTTACTGTATACATTTGAGATAACTGTTCTCAGAAACGTAACACTGCCTTAAATTATTTATCTCATATTGACATTAAATGAAATCTTGGGCCATCAGATGAAACGGAATTTTAAATTTAGATTTATTAGAGCTCAAACGGGAAGTGTTCTTTTTCTTGATTTTTCATTTTCCTCTGCTGTTTGTGTATAGAGTGGATTCTGAGTGTTCGAGCGCAGCCGAGCTACAGTAATAGTTGCTTGTTAATAACTTTGATGCATGTCTCATGTTGATGAGTTGTCATTTATTTACAGATTTCTTTTGTTCAACCGGAAAAAATCAATCTGCTTAAGTTTTTTATAATTTTCTTTAGGTAAGTTTGAAGAAATTGTAGAACTTGTTTTTACTGTAATCATTTGAACATATATCAACCAGAGCGATTCAAGGAAAGTTAAAAATTGATAAACAAATAACAATTGAAACATTAAAATTAAAAGAAACCGAATGATATTTCAAGAGATGAGAAACTACATCTCCTTCACTGTCTTCCACATGTTTTTTGTATCATTCACAACTTCCATAATGTATATTTTATAAGTTTTATTTGTTTCATATAACTTATTTTATCCAAATGGACTGGGATGTTATTAATATATCATTGTAAATTAATATATTTATGATTTTAAAAAAAATCTATATTGAGTTTAATTACGTCAACAGTTCAGTTGTTTGTACCAAGAGCAGCATGCTTTTTATAATTTCTTAAATCTGGCCAGTTTGAGTTGCTTAGATTCATGTGTGTGTTGTATTCTCTGCAGCTTGTCATTGTGTGTTGACTTATTATTTATCCACTGAGGAGCATGCACACCTCTTTGTTTAGCAGTTTTTTTTATCTTTAGAATATTTAAAGTTATCATTTTGATACACAAACATAGTGTTCTGTTCACTATTAAGGATTTCCCAACTGCTTTAATACAAAACAACCTAATCTAAATATAAAGAAACAGTGAAACAAGATATGTTAAGGCTGGGAAATCAAAGACAAGACAATGATGCAGACTTTTTCAGCAGTCATTACAATACAATAAACAACAGTTGGAATACAAAAATAAAACATGTATTTTCGAATATCTGACTGAAATCAATGGAGCTCAATGTTCAACCATAGGAAGACAATCTAAATGTAGCTCTGTAGACTGTCACATCAATAACTTGACCCAAGCTATACTTGACCCAAGTTATTGAATGTAAATGAATGATTTTAACTTTTTTCACATACACCCATTATGTTATCAATATTTTTATGTTGTACAAAATTGGATACTGATTAGACATTCTTTAAAACCATTACACTGAAATGATTTCTTAATGATCAGTATTGTCTATTTGTGGCTGATACACTAGTTTTTTTACAACCTTTACTTTGACCAAAGTTGTTAAAAAATATATCAAATTTCATGTACGTGCTTGTAAAATTTATTTCTTGATGGGATACAGTTAGAAATATGCAGTTGAATTTTGACTATAGATATATGTGCATCCATAAATGATTTGATCAGCATACATATTTTTAATCTTGCTCAAGTTCCCAATAAATAGCACATGCAATCTAACATCGCACACAATAACTGGTACAATCTAACATGGCACAGTAACTAGCAGTACAATCTAACATGGCACAGTAACTAGCAGTACAATCTAACATGGCACAATACCTGGCAGTACAATCTAACATGGCACAATAACTAGCAGTACAATCTAACATGGCACAATAACTAGCAGTACAATCTAACATGGCACAATAACTAGCAGTACAATCTAACATGGCACAATAACTAGCAGTACAATCTAACATGGCACAATAACTAGCAGTACAATCTAACATGGCACAATAACTAGCAGCATAATCTAACATGGCACAGTAACAGCACATACAAGCCAACATGGCTCACAATAAATTGCCTGTACAGTCCAACACGTCAAACATAAATGGCACGCACAATTCAATATGGCACACAGTAAATAGCTTTTAGCATTTGGACCAGGAAACTATATGAAAATATAGGTAACCCATTTATCTATCATGTTATTTTCTACAAATGTTCATTTACAAAATTTTAGGTAAGTATGTAAAGGAAGTTTTAGGACAAATGTTTAGTTATCAACTTTGGGCAATTTGTAAAATTTAATCATTTCACCAATATGAGTTGGACTGCTGTTCACAGATCTGTAATATAGCTTCAACCTTCTTTGTTTTACTATTTTCATTTTAATCTCACCCAATCATTTTCTACATACCCAATAACATGAGGAAAAAGCACCATATCCATTCTTATTAGCCTGTCGGTTCGGTGCTAGAAAGAACTGGGGCTTTGTGTACTACCAAGACTACTTATGTCTAAATTAAGATAATTATAATAACATTATCTAAGACTTGGTTTTCTTTGTTTTAATGCCATATTTGAAATACAAAGCAAATTAATTTATTAATGTGGACAATGACAATAGGAAATCCTCCAGTATCATTAACTAACCTGTTGATATATAACCTCTATTTCAGCTGCTTCTTGTCACTACTTTTAATAGCAGCTGCATTATGGAAGATCAAGCACAAATATGATAGTTACAGAAGAAGGCAGGTCAGTTCGTTGGTAATGGCTTAATATCAGAATATGATAGTTACAGAAGAAGGCAGGTCAGTTCGTTGGTAATGTTGGCTTAATATGAGATTGAAATAACAGTTTAAGCACACACAAAATATTACCTAATATGCTTGTTTTTATTTTGTAAATGTGTGCATTGATTTTTAACTCTGCTTATGATGTTTTCAATTTTATTATGAGTTCCACTTGATTTTCCCATTTGTGAAACCAACAGCAAATGATTGTAGAGATGCAACAAATGGCTAGTCGACCATTTTCAACAATTCCTGTTGAGATGGAAAGAAAGTCTTCCCCTGCAATTGTTGATAAAAAAGACCACTTGGATTCAGTACTCCGGCGCAGGAAGAAGGTAGATACTACCTGTTTTAGGAGTCGATTGTATGCTAATGATGGTCAAAATTGAAGTTCATTTTATTTTATTTTTTAAATTCAAATGAAAGTATTAAATTTGTAAATTTTTACAAACTCATTAGTAATTTATTTAATATATTTTGGGAAATTATTTGATAAATAAGGATTACCAAGTTGATGTGTCTCAGAAAGAAATTGTAAATTCCAATGATAATAAAATGAAACAAAATCACTAGAAATCTACACAGAACAAATAGTGGATAAAATAAAATGTGCAGCAGTGTCACCTTGTTAATGATTGGAATGCTAAAAGGATAAATGGATGATACTTTGTCATTTGTAGGGTTATGAATGAAGTTAAATAGATCAGGTGTGTTCAAATGAGATAATTCAAAAGTCAACAAAAACATCCCAATTAAACTAACGTGGCCTCATCCACTGACTCATCCACTGACTCATCCACTGAGTCATCCACTGACTCATCCACTGACTCATCCACTGACTCATCCACTGCGTTTGAAATGTGATCAGGTCAAAACCAAATATTCCATAGCTTAATACCAGTTAACAGAAAAAACAGGCAGTGTCAAAAGAATAGTTATTGTCCATAAATAGAGCATTAGTTGTAATAAAGTGTTCTGTGACCAATGCAGGAGAAGCTCTTTCAGAAATGTTAGCCTATGGAGTAATTGAAGAGACTTGTTTTTATATTTATTGTTGTGCGAAACCCCCCCCCCCCCCTCCTCTTTCCGGCTCCATCCATTTAAAAAAACAACTAATATTTTTCAAGTAATTGAGAAGACTTTTTTTTTTTTTTATTGTTTTGCCAACCCCCCCCCCCCCCCTCCTCTTTCCGGCTCCATCCATTTAAAAAAACAACTAATATTTTTCATGCTGCTGTATTGTATTGGTACATTTATGCCATGGCCAATTGATTGTTTGACTGTGTATTATTGTTTGTTGTTGTACTTGGTTGCCATGTGCTTTTAACTGAGTCAACCCCAAGCTGTTGGACTTGAGTTCAATCCCCAGCAAAAACATAGCCAGCACCCCGGGGGTGGATGGGACGGGTGGATGGGACGTGTTGACCTTAGATGGCAACTCATCAAAGAGAAGGCAAATTCTGAAATCAAACCTTGGAGATTGAGTCCTGTAGGCGGTATGAAACTGGATCAAATAGGCATCTTCGGCTGCCAAGGAAAAAGAATAAATAAAATTGTTGTACTGTGGATTATTGTTTGTGCCAGCCCCTGTTGTTTGGAGCTCCATTTAGGTTTTCTCAGTGTATCTTTTTGATAATAGAAGATTTTATTTGTCCACAGACTGTCAACAAGCCATCAGCTATTGCCATTGAACCCCTTGCTGACCACAAAGCAGCCATTTTAACTCTTCTCATTCAGCTGCCAACAGGAGATGCTGACTTTTCACCAAGTGGACAGTCAGGACTAGCTGTTGGCAGTGCACTTGTTTCTATAGGTACTAGTTGGGGGGGGGGGGGGGGTGGTNGACAGGGTGAGGGGCATAACCCACGGCAGAGTTCAGTCCAGGTGTTTGGCGCGTAGCAGATAAATTATCAAGACTTATATTTACCTTTTCATATGCAAATTTATTATCGTAATAAGTCATTTCTTTTCTTTACTGATTGATTTGGAAAATAAATGGATTTAAGTGGAATATTTTCTATAAACATAGGAGCTTGTTAAATAATTTGAAATTCTTGTTTCTATCATACGATAAGCCACAGGCGTAAACTCTTTTTGCTATTCCTCAAATTGTAATCTTCTATCATAAAATAAATTGAGAATAACTTAGTCAACACAACTGAAGCATTCTTAGTTTGGGGATTATTTCCTATTGTTAAAAGATTCATCTTTTTTAGCTTGTAAGTAAAGTATTTTAAAATTTGATTTTTAATTATTTTCTCTCTTATTTTTAAATTTAATTTGTCAATACTCGCAGCACCTCATAAATCAACTGGCCTTTGCTATCCAGCTTACATTGTTCCCACAGGTTCTAACAGAAAACAAAGTCTTGACCACGCTAAGGGAGACAAGTCGAAGATACGGAAAAATCTTACTTACAATCATCCAGATACTTGTGCATAAAAGATTTCCCTCACAATATAGAGGTAAAAAGCCTCACAGTAGCCATAGAAACCTGGTGTTTGAAGCAGCCATAGTGTATATGCTGTTTTGTTTATTACAGTCCATGTGTAAAGATGATAATTTATGAAAAAATGTATGACATTAAAATGTTGCTTATTGGCCCTGCCTACTACAAAGTGATAAATATTTATTACATTACATGGTAGTCTTTTAAATTGTTTATTCCATTGCACATGATAGAAACAATAGATTTTAGAACGACAATGCACAGATCATTAATTACTTTTTTTTTTTTTACAAAGTCACTCTTTCATTAACTCTGGGCAGTCCAGTTGATTTTTTTTAGGTCATCTCACATCTTAGGATAAATAGTGAATGTTTAAATTGCAGGTTAGCTTGATATAAAAACCGGATTTTTATTGATTTAACACAGATATAACAATAGTATAACATTTTATAATAATAAAAATTATTATATAACGTTAGGATAAGAAAAGCGTAGTTTTTTTGCCAAAAAAAAAAAAACAACAATTATCAAGCATAAAATTCTAAATATTAGGTCTCTAGCTTATATATCATTCATTAGTACTGCAATTATAATATTAAATATTCCTTACCTGGAGTTTTTAGTTTTTGCATCTCATTTCTTATTGCCTGCTTTTCACAATCCAGAATATGGAGACCAGGTTTATGGCCTGAGTGGGTCCTTGGTCAACATCTTCATATATTTGTTTTGCAAGTCAATTGGCAGTGTTATGTATTATCTGCACTATTCGAGCATTTTTTATTTTTTTAAATATAAGGCTATATGAAATAAACCCTTAAAAACATATATTTTAAACATAATAAATGAACAACTTCCATTGTTTACTTATTAGAATAAGGCAGAACACAAAAACAACAAAGAAAACTAAAATCAGATGATTATGTAAACAAACAATTTTTCTTATTTTTAAAGCCAAAAAGATTGGAAAATAAAAGTATCATTACAATTTTGTAAGAATATATATATATAACTAGGATACTTTTATTTATTGTAAAATATAATTTGTTGTTAAGATTATTTACAAATTTTTTAGTTATAGGCCTAATTGTGTGGATACCTAGACTTGTTTTAAACGGTACTTGTGTAGGTATAGAAAGATCCACGACTTCATCCAGTGTTGTTTCATATTCCTTTGCTTCCCACTTTCTTTTAAAAACAAATTGTCTTCTTTAAAAATATATAATATATTTCTAACTTTAATTTTTATATCGTTAATCCTTTTTACTTCTAATAATAATTTTACTTCTTAAGTAAATCAAACATAAAAATTTTTTTTTTTTTTTTAAAAAGGTAAACAAAAACACCGGCTTTGTCTATAGTTGGTCTGCACAGAGTTTGAACAAATGTTCAGCTTATCTATTCTAATGCAGCATAAAAATATAAGAGCTGTGGGAAGCTGTTAGTTTTTGTTTCTCTTACCATGCCAGATGTGATGAGTCTAAAGGAGCTGAGATCACTACACTGATCTAAGATGGTAATATCAGATTTAGATAAAAATCTTTCTTTTTTTTTTTAAATTCATTAATATTGAAATGACTTTGTAAATGACCTACTTTACATTTTCCTTTCTTTACGTTAACATGTTTAAATTAATTTCATCAGTCCTTAAAATGTTAAAAATGTTAGAATATTTTGGTTGCTCTTTATAGTTTCCATCAGTTTCCACCGTGTTTATGTTAGGATGCCCTAGATTTAATGATTTGACTTCTGAAAATGCCACTTAAAGTCTGTCAGGGATAGCGTTCAATGATGTTTTTAGTGTTTAACATTGTATGAGATTATATGGATTGTTTGAAAAAACATTGACACTTTTTTTTTAAATGTATTAAAATTTTGCAACACCTTATGAAAACTTTGGACAAGCTATTGTGAGCAGCACTCTGGTTGACACACCATTGTGTGCAGTGCTCTGGTTGACACACCATTGTGTGCAGTGCTCTGGTTGACACACCATTGTGAGCAGTGCTCTGGTTGACACACCATTGTGTGAAGTGCTATGGTTGACACACCATTGTGAGGAGTGCTCTGGTTGACACACCATTGTGTGAAGTGCTATGGTTGACACACCATTGTGTGAAGTGCTATGGTTGACACACCATTGTGTGAAGCGCTATGGTTGACACACCATTGTGTGAAGTGCTATGGTTGACACACCATTGTGAGGAGTGCTCTGGTTGAAAACGTATGCTTTACTCAATGGCTACTATCGTTCCAGCGCCCCCAAGGGTTGTATCGCCCACTTTGGGAATCACTGGTCTAAAACATATTCAGATTTAAAAAGCGTATTGAAGATCCACAAGGTTAGATCCTGTTTCATCTGGACTTAATGATGAAACATTGCTTTAGTTCTAACAAAAAAAAACAACCAGCTTTGTATTTTCAGCTCTATTTTAATTCAACTTAAGTACATGACAATAATTAACCTTATAATAAAAGTGCTTAATTATATATTTGGAACGCCAAACATTCTATGTTTTATGTTACTTTGGTGTATATTATCAAATCCTCATTTGTAAATAAATGTACATTTTTTTTGTTCTGTTTCTGTAGAACTTGTAAATAGTGTTTAAAAGGACACATTAATCTTCTATTTCTGTTACCGGTACAATTTTTGTGTGTGTGTTACCTTATCTCAAAAAAAAAAAAATGAGTTTGTTTTGTGACAACGTAATATTTCTTGATTATTTATGGATGTTGCAGATGTTTTCCTCAAATTATCTTAAAGAGACATTTTTGTTAAATTTTTATTACGGCTAATCTGTTTGTGCCCATAAATTGAAGACCTAAGACTGACCTGTTTTTTAAGTTTTTTTTTTTTTCAATTTGACTTGATAGTTCTTGAGCCAGTTAACTGTGCCTTAAATGAAATGTTCATTAAAATGAATAGACACATATTACAATATATATATATATAATGAACTTAGAAAATTAAATTTTTTCTTGTTCAAACTGAGCTATTTTGATTTTTTTCAATTACGTTTGATAACTAATTGAATTAATTGTCCATTGTTTAAAGGATTTTTTTTTAACTTATGGAGAATTAAAATTTTTGCAGAAATATCTTAATCAATTTTTCTCAAACTACATGTTGCCAGGGACATGATATATTTTAACTGAGCTGGCCTCATGGAATCAAAGCCATGAAATGGCTGTAAGAATAATCAAGTCTCAGTCTACACATTACACTGTTTGAAACCATGACATGAAATTATACGCTTATTCTTTTTTAGTTTAGGGTGAAGTTTATCAATTTATTGTTGAGGATAACTATCATCAACTTGATAAATTTTAAATAATCCCAAATGATAAAGATAAACGTATAAAGTATCCGTCACAACATTCCAAAAATGTATTATAAATGGATGCTTTTATGTTTCCAGAAAATTCAATTGATTCTGAATAATTATTCTGTGTTAGTCTATAAGTTAAAGTAGAAATATCTCAACAGAGTTAATGTTTTGTAAATAAAATAAAACTATTTCATGTATATTTCATAACGCCATAATATTTTGTTCTAAAGTATTCAAAGGAAATGTACACATGATGTATATAGTTAAGTTTGTATGCTCTTGAATTAAGGTATTGCACTGTGTCTAACTGCCCTCACAAACCTGCAATGAACTGTTAAGTGTTGCTTTAAATCAATAATGTATCCACATCTCTAAGACAGCTTTGTGAGGATACTTATGTAAGGTGGTTGGCTCTCAACTTCATCTCTTATCGGCACATTTTCTTGTTTGTATCCAATGTCTAAAATAGCCGAAGTGAACAAAGTTTACTGAAATCATCACTTTACCATCCATTTCTAATATATCACTGTCCCCGAGATTCTCAACTTTTTTCTAATTGTTATTTACTATTCTTGTTAATTGAAAAGTACAACCAGATTGCCATCAATGTTCATAAGTATCAGATGAGGTGATTGGCTTTTACAAAAACATAGAATACAAAAAGTTTGCATTTTTTTATTTCAAGTTATAGTGAAATAGTCAGCGTAATTTAGATGTTGTTTTGGCATGATTTTTCTGTTCTGGGTAGGTGCGTACTTTTCAATTTATTTTATAGAGAACGCCATCTTACTTGAGTTCCATATTAAACATTTGTGAAGAATAGGTTCATTTTACAGCTATCAATAAGAGCTTATTTGGCTAGCTCTTCAGTAATAAGCTTGATAGTTTTCTATCAGCATGACATAGTGCTATCAGTAGACTTGTTCATGGCTGATGGTTTTACTGACAGGGTGTTGTTATTTTGTATGGAGGACATTATTTTTATGTAATTTCTATCATTTATGTTCCATATCAATGACTGTGAGCAAAAATGAGTCTTATTAAAAAGGAAAACCTGAAACCAATCTTTCATTTTTTAGTTCATGTATTGTCTTGTGTTGTACATGGTTTTATTGAAAATGAAATCTTTATTAACACCAACAGTGCTCTACATAAGGCTTGTGTGTTTGGTCATTAAAAGTCTTCTACCAAAAGCTTGTGTCTGGTCATTGAAAGTCTTCTACCAAAGGCTTGTGTCTGGTCATTGAAAGTCTTCTACCAAAGGCTTGTGTCTGGTCATTGAAAGTCTTCCACCAAAGGCTTGTGTCTGGCCATTGAAAGTCTTCCACCAAAGGCTTGTGTCTGGCCATTGAAAGTCTTCTACCAAAGGCTTGTGTCTGGTCATTGAAAGTCTTCCACCAAAGACTTGTGTCTGGCCATTGAAAGTCTTCCACCAAAGACTTGTGTCTGGCCATTGAAAGTCTTCCACCAAAGGCTTGTGTCTGGCCATTGAAAGTCTTCCACCAAAGGCTTGTGTCTGGCCATTGAAAGTCTTCCACCAAAGGCTTGTGTCTGGCCATTGAAAGTCTTCCACCAAAGCATTGAAAGTCTTCCACCAAAGGCTTGTGTCTGGCCATTGAAAGTCTTCCACCAAAGGCTTGTGTCTGGCCATTGAAAGTCTTCCACCAAAGGCTTGTGTCTGGCCATTGAAAGTCTTCCACCAAAGACTTGTGTCTGGCTATTGAAAGTCTTCCACCAAAGACTTGTGTCTGGCCATTGAAAGTCTTCTACCAAAGGCTTGTGTCTCGCCATTGAAAGTCTTCTACCAAAGGCTTGTGTCTGGCCATTGAAAGTCTTCTACCAAAGGCTTGTGTCTGGCCATTGAAAGTCTTCTACCAAAGGCTTGTGTCTGGCCATTGAAAGTCTTCTACCAAAGGCTTGTGTCTGGCCATTAAAAGTCTTCTACCAAAGGCTTGTGTCTGGTCATTGAAAGTCTTCCACCAAAGGCTTGTGTCTGGCCATTGAAAGTCTTCTACCAAAGGCTTGTGTGTCTGGTCATTGAAAGTCCTCAATGTAAGTCTTGAGTGTCTGGCCATTGAAAGTCTTCTACCAAAGGCTTGTGTCTGGCCATTGAAAGTCTTCCACCAAAGACTTGTGTCTGGTCATTGAAAGTCTTCTACCAAAGGCTTATGTCTGGCCATTGAAAGTCTTCCACCAAAGGCTTGTGTCTGGCGATTGAAAGTCTTCTACCAAAGGCTTGTGTCTGGCCATTGAAAGTCTTCTACCAAAGGCTTGTGTGTCTGGTCATTGAAAGTCTTCTACCAAAGGTTTGTGTCTGGCCATTGAAAGTCTTCCACCAAAGACTTGTGTCTGGCCATTGAAAGTCTTCTACCAAAGGCTTGTATCTCGCCATTGAAAGTCTTCTACCAAAGACTTGTGTCTGGCCATTGAAAGTCTTCTACCAAAGGCTTGTGTCTGGCCATTGAAAGTCTTCTACCAAAGACTTGTGTCTGGCCATTGAAAGTCTTCTACCAAAGGCTTGTGTCTGGCCATTGAAAGTCCTCAATGTAAGTCTTGTATGTCTGGCCATTGAAAGTCTTCTACCAAAGACTTGTGTCTGGCCATTGAAAGTCTTCTACCAAAGGCTTGTGTCTGGCCATTGAAAGTCTTCTACCAAAGGCTTGTGTGTCTGGTCATTGAAAGTCCTCAATGTAAGTCTTGTATGTCTGGCCATTGAAAGTCTTCTACCAAAGGCTTGTGTCTGGCCATTGAAAGTCTTCCACCAAAGACTTGTGTCTGGTCATTGAAAGTCTTCTACCAAAGACTTGTGTCTGGCCATTGAAAGTCTTCTACCAAAGACTTGTGTCTGGCCATTGAACGTCTTCTACCAAAGGCTTGTGTCTGGCCATTGAAAGTCTTCTACCAAAGGCTTGTGTCTGGCCATTGAAAGTCCTCAACGTAAGTCTTGTATGTCTGGCCATTGAAAGTCTTCTACCAAAGGCTTGTGTCTGGCCATTGCAAGTCCCCTACATAAGGTTTGAGTGTCTGACCATCGAAAGTCTTCTACCAAGGGTTTGTGTCTGGTCATTGAAAGTCTTCCACTAAAGGCTTGTGTCTGGTCATTGAAAGTCTTCCACCAAAGTCTTGAGTGTCTGGTCATTGATAGTCTTCTACATAAGGCATGATGGCTGGTCATTGAAAGTCCCCTACATAAGGCTTGAGTGTCTGGTCATTGAAAGTCTTCCACCAAAGTCTTGAGTGTCTGTTCATTGAAAGGCCCCTACATAAGGCTTGAGTGGCTAGTCATTGTTTCAGAGCTAGTGAGATGAATACAGAGTGAAGCTTCAAACTAAATGAAAATAAAAACAATTCAGAGTTTCTGCTCAACTCCTTCTTTGACCAAATAAATTTAGTTGTGTAATCACTAAAGAACTATTTTGTCTTACTTTATTCCACGACCGCTACCCAGAGGCGTAGCGAAGGGGGTGGGGTAAGGGGGGACAGATGTCCCCGGGCGCCAGCTAGTTTGGGGGCGCCAAATGTGTTTTGATATTATTTTGATAAAAATAATGGATTTAAGAGTTGAAAAAAAAAAGAAGAAAAAAGGGCGCTTTAAAATGAATCTTGTCCCTGGGCGCGAATCTTGTCCCCGGGCGCCAAACACTCTCGCTACGCCTCTGCCGCCACCCATTAACTAGTAACTAGTGTACGCAAGCCTTACAAAGTTACAATGCATTTAATTTTAAAAGAATGACTTCAATTTTTTTTTTAATTGATTTTTTTTAAAAAAATTAAATTACAAAAAGAAAGAAAAAACCCCGTAGATCTTAGAAAATGGGATCAAATTTTCATGAGGAAAAACAAATGTAGCTCACAAAGTTACACTCCACAATCAGAAGAATATCACATACGTAGTGTAACAGACCTGGATACTGTGTTTTAAAATGTGTGTATTAGAATCTGGAAGTTCATGAACGAGATTGACATCGGTGATCACCTTGCCCCAACCTTTTTAATTTTTTTTTTTACCTGGTGCCAAACTTTCTTATTTTTTAAAAAGCCTTTATATTAACGTCACTTTTGTTCGTGGCTGCCTGGCGGGCGATATCTTCGGACGGCTTATTGACCCACTTTCCCAACAACCAATTGAGCTGAAACTTGGCACATAGTCTCTTTGCCGATGACTACACATTCTTTCAAGATTTCAGCTCCAACCTCCAAAAATTCAAGGGGAAAATAAAATTCCCGCTAACTGCGCCAAATGAGATTCTTTTTAAAAACGTTCTCAATGTTCAGGCCCACCCACATTGCTCCATATATAACATTTGTAAAGGATTTATATGGACAACTTGGTTTTTAGGGGTGGTTTCATCTTTGTTTAATATCACAATAATAAATAATCTGCCCCACCTAATTGCACTTACTTTTTTTGAATAAAAAAAAAATAAAAAATTATTATTCTTTTTAAGAGGAGAATCCAGTTGAATGTTATGTGAAATAGCGTTCAATTATGTCAAATCCATTTTTGTTATTAATTTTATATATAATTCTTTTTTTCTAAATCGTAAATTTAAAAATAATATCTATGGATCTGGTAAAAAATGTGTAAAAATTTATCGAAGAGGCAGATTTAATTTAGCTGCAGAAAATAATAGTAGTTGGACATTTCAAATAATCATTACAATAACTGAATTTGTTGGAACTTTATTATTTATTTTTATACGATTTCCTTCAGATAAATCACACACTAATAATTAATATGATGCTACGGTAAAAAATCTAATTTTTTCTTAACATACTTTAAAGCCGTTCATATGCCTACGCCATTTATAAGAACGACCAGTTCTGAAAATCCATACAAATGTATCGACCTTTTTACAAAACAGATTTTGTTCCTCTTTGACTCCGATAAAACTTTATAATTTTTAGAAAAGGTAATAATTACAAGTAGGGGGTGTCGGGACCACAGAGGATCAGAAATCTTTTTTTTTTTTTTTTTTTTAATGTTCAAAAAGTTTGTAGCCTATACTTATTTTAATGTTGCATGTCCATGTTAAAATGAGGCTAAATATTATTTAATTTCTCACAGAGCGTTTTAAAATGTGCTGGGTTAAGTGATTCACTGTGATTACTCTGGGGCGCGCCTCAGCTGGAGTGAATTCAGTTTATGTATTCACTGGGTGCCACCACAGAGCTATAAATATATTATATATCTCTATGTCTATGGGTGCCACAATGCCTTCTTCCGGACATAAAAAAACATTCTTTCCCCGACCAATAGAACCAATGAATTCAGGTAGGCCTATATTTAAAAAAAATAATTGCATCTGTTGTTTTTAAAATAATCAAAACTTTTCTGGGAAGGGGACTCCACAGACTATACTTTCGCACTCCCTTCCACGATACAAAATCTCCAAAAATGCTGCCCCTCAATAACACTAAAAATTGACACCTGGGTGGACGACCCCATGGGCGCCATGCCCATTCGCTCCATAAATGACGTCCCCACTTTTTGGAGCCTCCCCCTGGTAGTTTTCGGTAGGCCTATTGCTTCCCACCACCCCCACACTTTTTTTAATTTAAAAAAAAAAAAAAATTAAAGTTGATAATTTGTATTTTCCGTGGTGGGACCCTTAGCCTTAAACTGAAACTGTCATTAATTATTTGGGCCTACGTCTACACTTTTATCTTTTTTTCCCCATTAAATTTAGTTATCGCAAGAAGTAGGCTACCACGCATCTTAATGAAGCAATTAGTGGTAACCAAACTTCAAGCAACACTTTAAATAATGAAATAAAATTATTTAAAAAATATTTTTTTAATTTTATAAGGGTTTTAAGCTTAGGTCATGACCCACTAGCTAGTAGCTAAGTAGGTCGTGTCTAGGTTCATTTAGTACCGGAAGTTGATAAAAATGTCCTCTGGCCCTATACCTGAAACTAAAATGAACTAGATAGTCTACCGATTTAATGTTAGGAAGCTACAGAACTGCTAAACAGTCCTAAACTACACGAAAAGGTTAGAATAAGTTATTTTCGATAAAGATAACCATCAAAGGTTGGGCATTGGGTGGTAAGTATTTTTGAATTGGGTAAATGGGGTATTTTAACTAATATTAATATTAGTATTAGTAATTAGTATTAGCATTTAGCAGCAACAACTCCTTCTCATTAACAGAATGTAAGAGTTACTGAGCACTGTGTATAATAATTAATATAATATAAGTA